CTGAGTCTCTTTGGCTTAGGTTCATCAGATGTTGACTTCTTCCTGAAGAATCCAAACATTAACATGAATTTAAAATCACATATAGAAATTAAAAAAAAAAAAAAAAAAAAAAAAGATAGATGGAAACAGAAAGAAGGCTAACCTCTCAACAGGTTTCTTCTTGGCCTCAGTTTGTGTCTCAACAACTTGAGCTTCTGATAAAAGAAAACAACAACAAAAAGAGAGAAGCTAATCATCAGATCCCAAACCAGATGAACCGGATTTAACCTAAGTATCCAATTTTCAACCAAATTAACCTATAATACTGGAAACTGAAAACTTCATTTTAAATCTAAAAATGAACTAACTGATTGCTAAACTGGATTTTTATCAAGTCTAATTCGGCTAATTTTGTCAGCACCAAACTAACCAAACCGAATCAAATTCCAAACCAAGTGAACCGTATTTAACCAAAACTATCCAATTTTCAACCAAATTAACCTATAAACGATACCTGAAACTGGAAACTTCGTTTTAATTCTATAAACGAACTAACCGATCACTAAACCGGATATTTATTAGGTTTAATTCGGCTAGATTTTGAGTGAACCAAACTAACCAAACTGAATCAAATTCCAAACCGAGTGAACCGGATTTAACCAAACCAACCCAATTTTCAACCGAATTAACTGGAAACTTCATTGTAATTCTAAAAATGAACTAACCGATCACTAAACCGGATATTTATCAGGTTTGATTCGGCTAGATTTTGTGTGAACCAATCTAACCAAACCGAATCAAATTCCAAATCGAAAGAACCGAATTTAACCAAAACTATCCAATGTTCAACCGAATTAACTGGAAACTTCGTTGTAAATCTAAAAATGAACTAACCAATCACTAAACCGGATCTTTATCAGGTTTAATTCGGCTAGATTTTTTTGTGAACCATAACCAAAACCGAATCAAATTCCACTTCGAAATAACCAGATTTAACCAAAAGTATCCACTTTTTAACCAAATTAACTTATACCGGAAATTAAAAACTTCACTTTAATTCTACAAAAACAAACTAACTGATTGCAATAAACCGAGTCTTTATCAGATTCAAATTCAGCCAATTTTGTGTGAACCAAACTAACCAAACCGAGCTAACAATTAAACCGAAACATCTGAAAAAAGGAAAGAGATAGATATACCGAGATTGACTCGAATTTTGGCGTCGAGGCTACAATTATGCATACTAATAAGCGCCACTGCTACATTCTTATTACATCCTTCACTGTAAATTCAAATTAAAAAAAAAAAAATCCACAAAATCGCATCAGAAACACTCAAATCGAAATTAGGACATAGATAGAGAAGGAATAATCACCAACGAGCAAAGGCGCTGCCATCTTTAGCGCGAAGTAACGTATTGATGTTACTGTTGTTGTTAGTGGTTTCGGTTTTGGTTTCAGCTTCCACCCTCTTCCTCGCCTTGGGAGCCGTTGATTTCGACGATCCACCACCACCGGCCATTTTCTTTCTTTTTTTTTTTTTAAGAACGAAAAGAGAGAATAAATCTTTTTGTTGTTGAGATTTTGAGAATTGATGAGAGAGTTTGGGAGTAGAAAAAGGGAGTAATTGAGAGGGAAACGAAACTCGTTTTCGTTAAATTATGGCGCCAATATAAGTCCCCGCGCAAATAAAAATAAACTTTTGTTTTTTTTTTTTTTGAGTTTTGACAAGGATATGTGAGGTGGCGATTTAATCTACCGTTGGTTTTGTATATGTGATGGTATTAAACGGTTTAGATTGGCTTTTGTTGTCATTTGATGTTCGGCGCGGTCTTTTTTCTCTGTTGGTTTTGCGGTTGAAATAGTTGGGTCGTAAGGTCCATTTATCTATAAATTCGAGCCCAATAATAGAACATATGGAGGCTTTTATTAGTGGGATATCTTTCGAAATTAAAAACTAACTAGATTTTGGATTATTTTTATTTTTACAGATATAATTATTTGTTTTACATGATTAATTATAATATTTACCATATTATTAATTGTTTAATCTATATTTATTAAAACATAATAATTTTATAGACCACATGCAATAATTTTATTTATTTTTTAAAGTTTTCAGTGATAATATATTATAAATCACGTGATACAAAATTTTAAATTGAAAATATTATAGGTTAAAAATAAAAAAAATTAATTGAAAAGTATTATATATTAGTATGAAAAATTTAATACATACATGTACATTATTTTATTTATAATTAAAATTAATTTGATATTTAAATTTTTATTTTAGTTAAAGTAAAATATAGGTTTAATTTTTAAATAATCACAAAATTAACTAAATATTTTTTAAGAAACTAAGTAAAAAATGAAATATACTTTTATCTTAAATAAATACAAAATTAATTAATAATTTATAAGTTTATTTTAATGAAAAAGAAGTAAATTTGCTTAGTTGTCAACTTCTCCATGATTTTAGGTTATTTTACTTATTTTCATATTTTAATAATTTATTATATAATAAAAACGAATTTATGTTAATAATATTATATTTTTAGAAAATATGTTAATTCTTTTGTATTAGATTGTTATCTTAAAAATATATTATTCAATTATTCTTTTAGAAGTAAAAATTTGCTTAGTTGTCAACTTCTCCATGATTTTAGGTTATTTTGCTTATTTTCATATTTTAATAATTTATTATAAAATAAAATAAAAAAAATTTATGTTAATAATATTATATTTTTAGAAAATATATTAATTCTTTTGTATTAGATTGTTATCTTAAAAATATATTTTTTAATTATAAAATTTAAGTGAATTTGCTGATTAATTTGTAACTTTCTGTGATTTAGGTAATCGATACTATTATTTGTGAATGATTTTTTGCAAGAAAGCTCTCACGTTGAAAGTTAGAACGGTTAATATTGTTTATATCCTTAATGAATAATTAAAAATTTAATATAATTAAACATAAAAAAAAAAAACGAATTTCAATGATTTTAGATTTATCTTTATCTAAAAATATTTTATATTGGGTTATAAATTTTTTATTAACCTTGAAAAATAATTATATTACTTAATATACTTGAAAAATAACTATATTAGTTAATATATAATTAATTATAAATTAAAATTGAATTTCACTTATTTGATAATTATCCTTATTTTTTATATATTATGTGATAAAGTCTTTATCAACCTTGAAAAATAATTATATTTGTTAACATATAATTAATTCTAAATTAAAAAATGAATCTCATGAATTTGATAATTATCTTTATCTAAATTTTTTTATATTGTGTTATAAAGTCTTTATTAGCGTTGAAAAAATAATTCTATTTGTTAATATATAGTTAATTATGAAAAATCAATTTGCAAAGAATTTATGTATAGATAATTTATATTGTGTTATCCAAAACATTATTAAACATAATTTTTTATACTTTTTTGTTATGTCTAGAAACAATATTAATTTATTACTAAATGTTTCAAGTTTATGAGTATTTTCAAATATAAGTTGTGTAATGAAAATTATTTATATGATGATGAAAATTTTATAAATAAAAAGAATTTATTTAGTTTATTAATAAATATTTTGAGTCTATGAACAATAATTTATTATAATTTACATAACTTGATTATATATTTATTTATAGATATTCGTAAAATTATTAAGCCCGCAAGTGCGGGCAAAACACCTAGTTAATTAATAATTTATAAGTTTATTTGAATGAAAAATGAAATATATAGATTTACATTGTAAATAAAAAGATATGAAGAGATTTAATTCATATATAATTTCAGAGAAAATATAGGAATATCTATTTGTTTTTTTTTCTGTTCTAGAATAATTCAAATAATTCATATGTTTATACATAATATAATTTAAATAACTTTCTAGGAATGGTCCATTTTTTGAAATATCACACATAAAGTGAAGTCATGACTTCTGTTTTAATATATAAGATAATAATATATAGAAGTCAGATAATCAGATAAATGGGGAATGAAAGCAAGAATTGCTTCTTGCAAACTAGTCATGCGACTTCGGTTTTCTGAAATGGAACCGTCGGTTTTCGGTTAACCGAAAATTTTGAAACCTATTCTGAAATTAACTGAATTATATTTCGGTTTGGTTATCGGTTAATTTCAGTTTTTAAAATTATCTTCGAAAAAATAACCAATTTTTTTGGTTTTCGGTTAATTCCAATATAATATTATAAAAAATGGGATATTTTCGGACATTTTTGATTAAGTTCGGATATTTTTGATTTTTTGGTTCAATTCCGTTCGGTTTTCCGGTTATTTTCAGATATTTTCGATTATTTTCGGTTTTTAAAAATTTTAATTTTTTTTTTGAAAGTTAAAAACCAAACCGAACCGAACCGACCGAATTACTTTTCAAAATCCTACCGAACTAGACCAAATTAGAAAACTGAGAATTTCGATTTGGCTCTGTTCGGACTGTTCGGTTAGGTTTAAAGTCGCAGGCTCTATTGCAAACTTTCAGATAAATTGTGAGACTTTTAAAAGTGACTTTCGTCTATATTTGATTCTAAAATAGAATAACTATATTATAAAGTTATACATTATAGAAGTAAAAAAGTAGATATTGGTTAACTTAAACAATATGTTAATAAAACCTAAAACACTGGAACTAAATCTAGGGAAGATAGTGAACTCAAAAAAACAACATGTTTAAAGAAACCTAATACATAGTCATAGAAGAAGAAAACAACATACCTAGCTAGAATTCGAAACATACATATAATATCTCACAAAAAGCTGATATAGAGAAGAAGAAAACAGCAAGATGGAGACATATATTTGTCGGTTTAAGGAGAGTCGAAATTAAGAGAATAGCTAAGAGGATCGTAGTTGAAACTACTCTGTTTCTTATTCTTGTCTCTTGGTGATCTCATCTTATTAATCTCTGCTCTGATTCTCCACAAAATGCTTCTTATCAGCTTCTTCTTCTTCTTCCCTAGCTCCATGCATCCCATTTTTTTCTTCTTCTTGTCTAAAGAGGTCGAAAGTTAGAATAGAGAAAGAGCTGCAAAATTAAGTGAAAAAGAGTGTGAAATAAAGTCAAACGTGGAGAATGAAGACTACTTATAAAAAGCAGTATCTCTGTGACTCTGTCTTTGTTTCTAGAGCTGGACCAAGAGGAGACGATTGATGTTGACCTCACGCTTTTATTTATATATAATATTATGATTATTACATCCATTTTTCAGAGTATCACATGCATACTTAGACTATACAGTTTCATCAGGCATTGAATTACAGGTGGGGAGCTAAATTATGACAATATAAGACTGTTCACTAAAAAATGTACACATAACTTAACGTTTAATGCCCAAAGAAATACCAAAAACATTACAGAGTCCATGTGAAAATTTTAGTTTATGTCTTAGCAAAAATTAAATCAATGTATAGTTTCTTGGTTTTGTGATCTTGTTAATCAAAAGAAGTACATATAAATGGTTTAAAACAAGCTGGTCAATAAAATGCGATAACTGAAAAGAAAAATAAGATCCAAGAAGAGAATCTAAATTTACAAAAGAGACAAAAGAGAATAAAAGAGGAGGATGCGTAGGTGGTGCAGAAGGGTAAGTTGTATAGCAATAGCCATTAACCATGTATGGTCGTTGTCTCTTAACGTAACGCAGAAAAGAGGCATGAGTTTGTTACTTCACAGTCAATTTCATTTTTTTTAAAGATTATTTTTATTATATCAGAAGAATGATAGATTTTTTTGGAATGAATAGTTTTGTATTTTGTATGTTTGCACAAAGGAACAGTTTTGTTTTTATTAGGTAGTTGATGACAATACCGTTACATGGTTTTGGCAATTTCGTCTTCTCAAGTAATCTATAGTCTGGTTGGGTTCATTGCAGTGTTTAGAGGATGCCAAGATTTGTTTTTAAGTCTTTAATTTTCACAAGTTTTTCTTTCTTCTTCCTCTTCATTAAATGTTTCACATTTGGTTTGGCATCTATCAGCTAAGGTTAAGAACTCACTTTTACAAAAATGTACTCATATACTTAAAGAGTTGATTTGGGTAAAACTGTTGAATATTAATTAAAAATATGTGATGTTTTGAGATGAAGCCGATGGTTGAATATTAATTAATTAATTTTTTATTATAAAATTATGAATACTTACAAAGAAAAATGTATTGAAATCGGTTAAAAGCAATGACATCGCTAAAATTATGTTTAAGATAATAAATAGATAAACTTCAACTGGGCATGTCTCTTTCTAAAGAGCAGAAACTCTAGGTAGTCATACAAGAATAGCTAGAAGACCAACCCATATGGCTTCTCATTTTCTACACACACACACACACAAATTAGAGTGACCAGGTTGATCTAGTCTTACAAACTCTTATGGTTAACTTAGTAAGAATCAGCTTTAGTATTGGTTAGTCTCCTCTTGGAACCAAATCCACCTTAAAAAGAAAGTAGAGGGTTGGGCAAATGGACATGTAATCATGATAAGTGATTATTGCTTAGATGAAACATATCTTTTAACTCAAATCTAGTAGAAAGAATAACTGTGATCATCAAAAGCCTGAATCTACCCTTAGAATCGTGATCTCAAGATCCAACCTTTTCTACATTTCAATAAAGCTATAGCTAGTCTCAGTTGCAAACTCCAAATCTAGTAAACTAAATGTAAATATAATAGCACTTATGAACTTATATCAAAGATCCAACCTTTTCTACATCTCAGTGATGCCTAGCTAGTGTCAATTGCAAACTACCCCCAAAGAGTCTGAAACAATCACAATCACAACCTCAAACCCCCTTCTGAACTATATCAAAGATCCAATTTTTCATTTCTTCCAATCTACAATGATGAAAGTCTATCTATCTCACTGACACTATAACGAGAACAGATGAATCAATAACAAACAGGGGTGAAGAAGAGATACTTATGTATATGATTGCTAAAGGTATACACATACATCAATACTCTCAGTTACATACAAATCATTCTCTCCCCATTCCCAAGTTTTCAGTAAACACAAGAAAAGAGAGTGAAGAGACAAAAAAAGAATTTGCCTTTTTGTTGTATCTCATCATCAAGTATCAATGAACTCGAACTCGTCTTCCTTGAGATGAGCAACAAACTTAACAGGACCACGACCTTCAACTTCTTTAAAGAACTCAACTTTATAAGGAAGATTAGCTGAGATTCGTTTCCCTTTCCACACAGCTACGTAATCTTTAAGCTTACCTTCCATACCTTCTAAATCAACCTCAGGGATTCGGTTCACATGATAAACCTTCAACGGAGCAGTGACTCTGATCAAAGATCCCACCTTTGCCTTCGCTTCGAGTTCCTCTTCTGAGAGATCAGCCTCCTCTGCGTTCACTGAATCAGCTGATTTGGTAGCTACGTCGCATCGAACCGTCGTCGTGGAAGCTCTTCTTGTGCGTTTGATTCGAGATTGGGAGGTGAGAGGTGGGAGGATGCAAGATTTGAGCGCCGTGGGGAGGCCGTGAGGGAGAACGGCGGTGGAGAAAGCCGGTGACATAGCGATGGGGCTACTCATATCTGAGTGCCGGAGAGAGAAGAAAGATTTGGGTAAGTGGGAATCAATCTGTCGGGAAAAATAAACAACTGTTTTTCGTTTTCTCTGTTCTGTAATGGATGAATAAACGTGTAAGAAAGAAAAAATAAACGGTAATAAAAAGGATAAGAAAGAGAAGAAGAACACACGTGTCTTTTGAAAGGACAATGCGATATTTTCACGGGATCAGGAACGTGCGGCTGATATGATGCTGCTCTCAGAATATAACCATGATATTATTTTTCATGTATGTTACAAGTGGCTAGTGTCTTTCACACACTGCCAAAGGCTACAAGTAATACACTTTGCCCATTATGTATAACAATGTGAGTTGACAAATTCTAACAAAACATACGAACCATTGTCGGATTACATATTAGTACATATATATATTCAAGACACACATGGAAAGAGGGCAAAAGAATATACAAAAGGTTTAGGGTTTTTAGGGAACTTATGGGGATGGTGATCATAGTTTTCATACTCTCATGTGTTATTCTTCTTACCGCAGACCAGAACAAAATAAACACCAGAAAAAAAGCCGAGATATATATAGACACCACTCGATCTCTTTCTCTTTCTCTTCCTTCCATTCACATAATTTGATGAGATTTATTTAAACTACTAATGTCGTTGAGGAGCATTACCGATCAATCTGCATTGTTCCGGTAACATCGTCGATATCACTTCTCCGTTCAACGCAAACAGTTCTCCGTCTATACCACAACTGTCATGCGTCTGTTTTCCCGCCTTTATCTTCACCGACTTGACCTGATTCAATTTCATCAACCAAACACTCTTTAGTCTAGAGACTCTAGAATTACACTAGTACCCTCTGATTAGCATTTTCCTAGTAGCTTCCGAGAGGTTATGAAACAGCAAATGATAATTAATACAGTGAAGAAAATTTAGTTACCTTTACACACTCTACATATGGAAGTGAAAGGTGTCGCCCTGTTTGTAGAAGGATAAAAAACCTAATTAACCTTAGTCTTCCACATCCATGAACCAATAGCATGTCCATTGTACCATCGTCATGTTCTGAATTGGGAGCCACGACTTGAGAGCTCTGCACGGTCCGACAAGCGTGGTTACACACCATGATACCTAGGAAATGACCCTTTCTAGCAACCCATTTATTTTCAAATCTTGGTGTTGTCATGGTTTGCTTCGTTACTCCTGTCTCTATATCCTCCGGAGGACCTGGCAGCTCGATGGAATTTTCTACATCCCAAGCAGATGGTTCACTGTCCCATTTGGGTCCCGCATCCCATATCGGACCCGGGTCGGATACAGTAGATGAAATATCTTCTCTGTCGTGAGCACCGGTGTTCCCCCATGAAGATCTAGTTGGGGGTGGATCCTGCAGGGATGTTAACCCCATCCATGCTTTATCTGTTCTTGACTTTGACCTTGTCCTTGGCCAGTTAGGAGTTGTTGACTGTCCTTGAGGATGAATAACCTCTGGCTCAGATTCAATATCTCTTCTGCCAGAGGACATGCGCTTCATTTTAGGATCGATTCCACGAACATATTCAGATGGCTCGGTGCTAGCATGTGTGCTGCTACATGTGTTGTCTAGTTCGCCAACGCTTGGGGACATTATGGAGTCGATACTTGATAAACTGGAGGCTCTAGGCAATCCTTCTTTGCTTGATCTCCTCATTACATCAGTGTAGAGATCTTGGACATCAACAACTTCTTTTTCGAGTCTAGTTTTGCCTTCTGCATCTTCTTTTTGTGCCGGAAGATATTCCACTTCATAGCTATACTTTGGCAAACACATGAACTTGAGAAATCCAGCTACTAAATAACGCATAGGACCAAAGCGTTTTTGATATTTCTCAGAGAGCTCCAAAACTGCAAATAAACAATGACAGAATAGTTTAAAACCCATTAATTTAAGTATAGCAAGCGAAGGCGAAGAACGTTTTATACATGAAAGTACTGGTATGTGCAAAGAAATACTTAACGCAATATTCTTCCGTCAAACACAAACACATCTATAGCTCAAATTAATACATCAAACACAAGTCGGAACTGTAAATGAACTGGACAGAGATTTTGAGCATTTTGCTATGACACGCAAGCGTATTGGGAGTCAATAGAGTGTTCCCATTGTGACTGTTGAGATGTTTAAAAGATAAACAAGAATAATAAGGACGATTAAAAAAACTGTCACTAAAATGCATGAAAAACACAAGAATGCGCAAAGAAGCTAGGAATACATAATCATAACCGATCACACCGATAGCCTGTTCATTAATAGAATCTCTAACAAGACAAAGCACATGTATTCTCACTTACCATCGCTAACAAAACCATAATAGGAGACAGTCATTCCAAAGTGTATTACACCCGTATGAATCCATTCAACAGCAAAGACATCAGTAGCTGTTAGGCCACCCTAAACCAACAAAAATTCCTTTGAGCTGAGAAAGATGAATTATGCAGAAGACACATAATGTTGCTGGGCGGATAAACCAATCACTAAATCAAGGACCAACTAAATATTAGCTAAAAGTACCTTCACAATAGAGAGTGCTGCAGAAATAGGATCTCTAACACCAAGCACAGTCCAAACTAACGAGTTATCAGAGCCAGCAGGAACTATTCCAATTGGGATAGAAACTCCTTCTTTCTGATTGCTTCGAGTAAGTAGACCATTAAGAACCTGCAACATTGGAAAGAGGCAGGCAATGAGATAAAAGTTCATTCAAAGTAAATATAATGTAGGAGAGGTTAAATAAAAGGCTGTATTTTTCCATGCATCTTGATCTACCTAGAGAGTTCTACATTGGACAAAAAATCAACTACGCATGTGTTTCACTCGAGCAAGTAATTCCTTATAAGATACATCCCAAAGTCCTCGCTCCGGAGGATAAGAGTTCCTAGACTCTTAAAATGATTTTAGCATGCTTGCAAACTGACGCGAGCACGCTGAAAAAGGCCAGTAAAGTTTCATTCAATACAAAAATTGGTTCAGAAGCACGGCAACTCGGCAGGTAACAGCGCGGATAAGAAAAAGCAGTTTGGAATAATATGAACAGCATTTCTCGAAGTTAACGCTAAAGAAACTATAAAATCAATGAGCAAAGTTTGGAAAAGCTAATTATCACACCTCATTGATGATTCCGTCACCTCCAACACAAATTATACCTGGAAGAATTATCAAGGTCTCATAAGCGATGGTAGAAATGTAAGAAGAAAGTACGCATATTAGAAGCCGGTAGGTGTAAATCATATCATTCAGTGATAGACCAAGTATACGTACCGTCTGAGCATAAGCTAATATCGACAGTGGAAGCCAACTCTCTCGCATGACCTGCTTTATTTGTTTTGACAACCTCCATCTTAATCCCGGCAAGCTGTGAGAGTTCACATTATCACACACAAGATACAAAAAGCAATTATTTTATGAAAGTTGCATAATATGTCATGATGTAGATTACACCTACAACATCCAAATAAAAAAAAAAGATGGATAAGGTTACCTTGAAAATTGGTTCCACTACATCATTGAAAACTTTGATAGATCGTCCATGCCCTGACCTAGGGTTCAATATAACAAGCATTTTCGGTGCACTCTTACACCTAAACACCAACTCAGGAGGAGTATCAATAGGAACCGAAAACAACTCAGACGAACCCTGCTTCTTCGAGACTAACGGATGTGGCAAACAGTTGATAAAACACTGTTGATCTGCAAAACTAGCCACCCACTGAACAGCTTCTTCCACAGTAGGTGCAATGAACCGGAAATCTTTCCGGCTTCTCTTCGGTTTTGTAAAACAACCCTTTCCAACTGGATAAGCATGCACCGTGAAATGCTTGAGACCCACATTATACGTCAACTATCAAAAAAAACAACAAAAGCATAGATAAGTTTCTTGACTCTATTAGAGCTTCCTCAATAAGAGGTTCTAGCTCCGGGGTTCTCAAAATACACATGTGTGTATGTATATATTAATAATAGTATTTAATTTATGAAGTTCTTAACTTTACGGAAACCCAACCAAAAAGTTCTGTGAAGTTAAAGAACCTCACATATACATACACATATATGTATTTTGAGAACCCCGGAGCTAGAACTCCCCATTGGAGGTGCTCTTAGGTCCATTGCAAAGCCATATTAAGCAAGAAAAAAACTATACCGAGACAACATCATCAAGCTGTAGCACGTTAGAGCCCCAAACCAAAGCTCTCCTAGTAAGCCTCCCATCAACTGCTTTCTTGTTAAAAACGTCTATCTCTGCTCCATCTCTCCCTCTCTTATCAAATAAAAGCTTCCCTGAGTAAACAAGACTCCCTAACAAATCAGACTTCTCATCTCCTCCACCAATATCAATCCGAATCTCATCAGCCTTTGGCTTATCACTACTAATCTCGCCACGTGTCGCCTTCAACTTCTTGCTACGCTTCTCAGGGAATACAACAGGGGAAGACTGCTGAGATCCCTGAGAGCAAAGACCTAAACGCCTAACTGACTGTTGTCCCTGAGGGATTGTTACTTTTAACGAAGGATTATTCAGATTCACACCACTCTTCTGCATCTCTCTCTCTCTCTCTCTCTCTCTCTCTCTCTCTCTCTCTCTCTCTCTCTCTCTCTCTCTCTCTCTCTCTCTCTCTCTCTCTCCTGGATTATTCAGATTCACACCATTCTTAATCCAAAACCGTTAAAACGCCGTTAGCTACGTAACAAACACACAGCGATCGAAACCATTCCTAAATCCAAACCGTTAAAACGACGTTAAGATACGTTTATTGGATCCGATTACGCGATTTCGGAGCGTTCGTTCCTATAAGAAGATTCGTACGTAAGGATCGAATCAATTTCGATGAAACGAATGTGGAAACTAATCGAGAGAGAGAGAGAGCTGCTTTACCTTTTAGTCTCTCGGGGGGAGAAGTGATGAAACGTCGCCGGATCGGAGGATCTGAGAATCGTCTGGTGACGGAGATGAGTCGAGTCTATTGGATTACGACTCCACAACGGAAACCTCTCCTTCTTCCTTCTTTCGGATTTGTTTCCACTGCGCAACCTTTTTTGGACTTTTATTTCACTTCAATTTTATTTTTATTTCATTTCTTTCATCGCTAGTATTTTCAAATTTTTAGTTTTATTTTTGTTTCTATATTTTTTCCTCTTACATTTTACGGCAATTCTCTAAGATACATAAAGTTTTTATCACAAAAATTGACTTCAAAAACTAAAATTATTAAAATAGTATTTTTCGAAGATTTTAAGATTTTTAATTTTTTTAAAAAAATTCTATCCTCAAAACCCTACTCCTACTCTAAACAAAAAGATTTATGATTAGTTAATTAAAAGAGTATAATTATATATATTAATTTATTTTTGATAAAACATTTAAATTTATTTTGGTCATTTTTATTTTTAAGATATATATTTGTGACAAAATAATTTTAGGTCTATCCTTAAAAATTTCTCCACATTTTATCGGTAAGATAAATTTTAAAAATTCCCATTATTCATTTTTTTCATAACTAATGATATATATTTCACATCTATATATGTATATTATTATATTTTCACAAAATATATTGGGTGAATATAATAATTTAATTGATTTTTTAAAATTATGATTTGTATTACATACTTATTTTATTAGTTTTGAACTGGAATTTTAGATTAGAGAATATATTACATTTTTAAAATTTATATGTATCAATAAATTATATATTAATAAATTTGGTACTTACAGTATATATAACGCATAGTAAGTTGTAAATATTTTAGACCCAAATTGAACATGTCTAATATATGCATGCATATCATTTTTTTTTGAGAAAATGCAAAATTTTCTATGGATATTGTAAGACCATTAATAAAACTCGTCTCCTTCTTGGCGTTAGATTATAAAATCTACTTGTCAATTAAATATTGCAGATAATTTATTTCCCTTGTGGAAATCTCCTTGGTCCAATAATTTGACTAAAGGTTCATTATTCTTCTACATCAGAAGATTTTGGTTTCGAATCTCAAAAAAAGTGAAATTATACGAATTAAAAAATAAAAAGTTTACAAGAGATTTATAACATGGTATAAGGAATACAGTCCATAGTAGATCCGATAGAGCGGTTTAGATGATGCAGTCAGACGTGAATCTTCATAAGGGAAGTTAAATGCGTTAAATAATATCTATTCCCCTTAAAATTTTAAACAAATTATCTACTTATTTATATTTAATTTAAGAAATTATTAATTAAATTAGAAAAAGATAATGAATAACTAAAATTAGATTTAATTAATACTACAATGACATTAAGATGTAAATAAATAGTAATTTTAAGGGTTCATTAATAAATATACTTCTCTTTTAATATATAAGATTAAATTAAATTAATATTTTAATAAGATGTAAATAAATGATAATTTTAAGGGTTAGTTATCAAATTTACTTCTGTTTTAATATATAAGATGTACTACTATGATTGGTTACTTGTAAACTTGTATTACGTAACTGTGATAGGGAATGACCCTTTATTAAAAAATCTAAAGATATTGTTTAACTAAAAAAATTAAAATGGTATATTAAATTATATACTATGTAAATTTAATGTAATTGTAAGATCTTACTATACTGAAAACCATAAATGAGATTCTAATGGATTCATCTACTACAAACATACCACAAGGATAACCAAATTTATGAAGTTCATTTAAGATATATAAGATTACGAGAGTGACTAGAACATAAAACATAGCAAATTTGCTTATTTTCTTGTTTTTTACGTTAGTTAAACATACGATCACTCTGTTTTTTTTGTCGACAAATAATCAGTCATCTTCTTGATAAGTGATTATAGAAACACGAGACACAAACAACTAATATTTTAAAAGAAAAGCTATATATTAATAAGAAAAGTCAACCAACGTCAAATATAGAAAGGATATCATAATTCAAAATAATTGGTGATGAACTATACTATTGTTTTTAGTTTACCACGTCTTCCTAAGATTAGATTCTTCTCAATATGCGGAATATAAAGGATATCATAATTCAAAATGATTGGTGATGAACTATACTATATTGTTTGTAGTTTACCATGTTTTCCTAAGATTAGATTCATCTGGATATGCGGAATAGATATAACAAACAAATATATATATATGTTAGCAATGGATTGGTTTTAGCTTTAGCTGTCAATATATTTCATTTTCTAATTACAAACGAACATCGTTACTTGATAGTTTAGCTTAGAATAGCTTCATAACTAGAAGAATGACCCGAGAAGAAATATTGGAAGAAGTTAGAATATGGTCCTTTGATTCTTCGTGTATAAGAATTGTTAATATAACATCTTCTTCATTATAAAAGTTGGGATATCAAAAGTCATTATTGATTTCATATCTGTCGTGTATTATTTAGGCTTTGATTGGTATTAATTAGAGTAACAGAGTGAGAAAATAAAAGTTAAAATTGGAAAACAAAACAAAAATGAAACTGAAAGTAAAATTTCTCTTACTTAATCAACAAATATATTATTCCATTTTTCTTTTCTTTTATTTTCTCGTGATTGAGATGAAAACACATTTATCTTGATTGGTAAAAGACAGAGGAATTTAGAAGAAAATTTATTTACTCTAACTTTATTAATGTTAGAAGTTCCACTCAATCACACTCTTAACGAATTTTGGAGTTATATATCTTTATGTATAAAAATTTCATAATTTGATGGCAGAAGCCTTGGCAGTTCGGTCTGCCATAACCTTTGTCATGTCACACCATATCGAAGCCGTCTTAGTATTCTCAGACTCTCAAGTGCTTATCAACACCATCAACAAAGAGACGATGAAACTAGAGATTTATGGCGTACTTAACGACATCTACTTCCTATCTACCTCTTTTACTTCTATATATCGCTTTCAAGTTTATTCCAAGATCAACAAATATTTTAGCTGACCAAATTGCAAAACAAGCTTTATGGGTCTCAGACCCAAGTTTATTTTAATCTGAAGTTTTAAGGGTTGCACAAAAAAAAAAGATTGTAACACCTCTTGTGCAGATCTTGTGGAGATCCTTTAGCAGTCATGATTCATGAACATTATTGATTAGTCGCGGATGTAGCCAATACTTTCGATTAATCAACAAAAAGGTGTTTCATATCATTAAACCTGTTTATATCGTGTTGTTCTAGAAGGAAAAAAAACATCTAAATATTTTAAAGTTGATATGGTTTAAGTATCATCACGATTTGATCTGTACCACCAGTCTTTACAGAAACATAACACCATGATCAATTTCACATTTTAAATAAATAAATGGAAACAATCAATAAAAATTATACAAACATGATCTGTTTTAATCAAAGAATGTTTGGTCACCTATGAAAATGCCAATTTTATATTACAAAAAAATGCAAAACTATATTTTACAACAAATAAATGACTTGTTTGAATCAGTTTATAGAAACAAATTTGAAACACACAAGGGAATAAGAAGCTAAGAAGAGTACACAATCAAAACTAATCACACTTCAAAGTTCCTTAGAGCATCATCATTGATCAATATGTCATTAAAGTATCTCAAACAAATTACTTAACTTTTGTTATTAACTTTTTACAACAAAAAGATGCTACATCAATGAGAAAGTGACATATTTGAGAGATGATTTCTTTAACAAAGAGAAAATTTTCTCTTCCTACATATGTACCTCATCTAATGTCATTCTCTTTCTACTTTGTATCATTTAATTTTAATATTAAAGTGGTAAGAGATCATGCAAGAGCTTATTGCTGCGGATGGCCTTATAACCTCTTAACCAAATGCTATTTAGAACATCTGTAACCGTGAGACTCATAGGAATTCTTAAGAAAAAGGGTATTTCGGATTTGATAAGTATATTTTGGATTTTTTTTTTTAAAAGATTACCATTCGCGGGCTACCACGTGTCTTAGAGATCTGCAAATAGTGTAAGAATTCACTAAGAAATAGTCTTTATATAGGGATTTTAAGGATCGAATCCTTAATTTTTTTTAGGATCTACCGATTATTTAATTATTTTTCCCTAAATACACCCTCACTCCCGTTGCGGATGCTCTTATCTCTCGCTGCTTCATCCTTTCCAAAAAAGACTAAGGCCCAAGTCCAATATCAAGCCCAATACAACAAATCGGATTAAAAAACAATAAATCAAATAAAAAAAAAAAAAATACCGCAAAAACTCTTTCATCTTCTTCACCACTCCAACTAACAGTCCCAGTCACTTCCTTGCGTCACTCGCCACTTCTCTCTCTCTCCACCGCCTCCTCCTACAGATCAAACATTCCACCGGAGCTTAACCTCTCCGTCAAAACCCATCTCCAGGTACGTATAGGGTTTTATAAAGTTCCAACCTTTTTCATCATCATCATAAAAAGTTTCAACCTTTGAACATCACAGAGCATAAAAATGGAAGATCACACCGAAAAGGCCAAACCTTTGAGCAAAAAAAGGTTTAAAAAACCCAAAAGTCTAAACTTTATCGGATGGGGCTCGAAGAATCTAATAGACTTTCTACAGTCACTTGGTAACGACACAACCGACGAGATCTCCGAGTACGAGGTTACAAACATTGTGAGGAAGTACATCCGTGAGCTAAACGTTGTCCCTTTGAAAAAGGCTAAGAATAAGAAGAAGACAAAGATAGTAACTTGCGATGAGAAGTTAACTTTCCTTTTTGGGTGTGCGAAGATTAACACAACGAAGCTTCCTGATTTGGTAGCTAAGCATTACGTTGAGAATCANAGATCTCCGAGTACGAGGTTACAAACATTGTGAGGAAGTACATCCGTGAGCTAAACGTTGTCCCTTTGAAAAAGGCTAAGAATAAGAAGAAGACAAAGATAGTAACTTGCGATGAGAAGTTAACTTTCCTTTTTGGGTGTGCGAAGATTAACACAACGAAGCTTCCTGATTTGGTAGCTAAGCATTACGTTGAGAATCAGGAGGAGGATGAGGATTTTAAGTATCTTTACACCTCTGATGATGGTGATGATAAGGAGAGGTTGTGTTTTAAAGAGGTTGTGGAGAAGAAGCGTAAAGGGAGTGTTGTTGCTGCTATAGTGAGGGATAACGTTAAGCTTTTGTATTTGAGGAAGAGTTTGGTGATGGAGTTGGCAAAGAGGTCTGAGAGTTTTGAGAGTAAAGTGTTGGGGAGTTTCGTGAGGATCAAGAATCCTTGTCGTCAGCTTGTTCACGTGACAGGTATACTGTTCATCTGAATCTATGTTTGATTCATTTGTGAGTTGTGACTTTGTATAAACTCTCTTTTGTGTTGTGTAGGTGTGAAGGAGGGGAACCCAATTGATGGTTACTTTCTTCAGGTGACAAACTATTGTTATTATCTAGAAGATGTTGCTTCCTCTGCACTTTCAGATGATGATTTCACTCAGGTTGTATCCTAATAATAACTCTGCTTTGTGCTTCTTAATCTATGACAATTCATAGGTAGTCCAGATGGCTCTGAAGCTTATATTTTCTATGTGCAAAACCTTTGTTCCTCTCCCTGTGTCTTGAGAACTAGCAGTGGCTTTCTTATTAAACTGTTTTAACTAACGGATTGTCACATATTAGCAAATATAAATTTTACTTGAGATATAATGTGTCCTGTTTACTAATTCTCATAGGCATTTTTTTGTTGACTTTTGGCAGGAGGAATGTGAAGAGTTGCAACAGAGAATAAAGAATGGCTCTGTGAAGAAACTTACTGTTGTAAGTTTCTTTAGAGCTTTTTCTAGTAAACTGTATAGCTAAACTTGATCACTATGCTGCTTATTCTAATGCTTCTGACTTGTTTCAGATCTCTAATCAAAAGTTTACTTTAATCATGGACAGGTGGAGATGGAAGAGAAAGTTCGAAGTCTGCATGAAGATGTGACAAAACATGTATGTTCCTAACTTGTTCTCTTTATTTCGATATGATTATCAAATAATCTAAACTTATTCTATTAACTAATCTAAACTTCTTGGTGGATGTCTTTTTAGTGGATTGCAAGAGAACTTGTATCGTTACCAAGGAAAATCAACCAGGCCAGTGAAAAAGGATGGAAAAGAGAATATCCTTAATCTTTAAGCATTACTTTATAAACCATTAGCATTGTTTACGGTGAGACTCTTTTTCTATTGTTTATTGTCTTGACTTCATAGTACACTGTCTCAGTATCTGGACAGAAGGGAGCTTCTTAGCAATCCGGAAGAACAGTCCAGGCTTTTGCTTGAGGTTCCTGAAGTTATTGCTGAAGAAGTTGAACCTGAAAGTGTTGATGTTGATGTGAATAACGAAGATGAGTTCATGGAACCAAACCCTGAAGCATCCATTGAGACTCATCACAATGATTCACCAGTTTCTGGTCTCGTGAAAGCTCAAGAAATTCCCCAGCTCTGTGATGAAGAAGAAGAAGAAGACCAACCACCATGGGCTGTTTCTGCAGGTGAGTCCCCTGTTTTGTAACTTCAGTTAATTGATAAGGCTTTAAATGAGCTTAGATCAAGATTAATGTGTCCCCTTATACACTAAGGAGATGAAAACACCATTTAGTTTTGTTCTTGTTGTTTTGCTGGCTAGATTGAACCATTACCTTCTGAACTGTTTGTATCTTCATAGTGGAAACATTCTGGAATTGATCTGGACCCTTGGTTTGTGTGTTATTTGCAGGTGACAAAGATCTTCTTGAAGATGTGGAGGAGCTACCAGAAGACGGCATGATCACACAGAACAACAAGGATTCTATCTTTGATGAATCTCAAGCTCAAGCAAATGCACCAGTGATCATTGAACTGAGCGATGATGATGAAGAGGAGGAGGAGGAGAAAGGAGATTACAAGAAGTATGATCCAAAGAAGAAGATGTGGTGCTATGAGCTACCTAAAGGACAAACACATGGACCATTCTCCCTAGAAGAACTCAAAGAGTGGAGTGACCAAGAGTACTTTATTGATTTTCCAGATTTCAGTGTCTTCATGACAGGAAACAGCATCGGATCTGGAGTGCTCCTCACCAAGCTTCTAGCTCATATCAAACCCTGATCCAACAAAAAGCTTAGAACTCAAGTTTGAAAAGTGTGCACAGCTTTTCTTATAACTGTCTCTAGAATTTGCAGTTGACTATTTTTTTGATTGTTTGTTTGTTTATTTCTATTTAAGTTGCAGAAACGTAATTGAAAACAGTGCAAAGATTCTGAACTTATGTTGTTAAGAAGCTCTCAACATCTCTATACGTTGCATTTTTTTACCTGAAGAGTTATTGTGGAACCAGCACAGTTCCTCTGCTATACATTTAAAAACCAATGTTGATTCAAACCATATGGTGAAATCTTTCAACTCTTGTCCTAAGGACACACCAATGGAGTTTGTTTGGGAGCAGTTTGATCTTTGAGTAACCTTCTTCTATTTTTTCCCCATCCATTACAGTTTCATTTGAGTTAAGACCATGATGGATGAGGTTTTGTTAAATAAGCTTTGAGATCCTGAGTTTCATTCTTGTGAAACGTTTCAAATGTGCCAAATAAAAACCATTAGGAGAAAGATTCACAGTACACAGATCTCAGCATTGCCAACATTATAGAAGCTACACAAAAGCCTTAAAGAGACCATGATTAAGAACTGTTTCTTCGTTTTAACTAAAAAAAATCTAAGAACCATCTTTTAAATAAGAGTCAAGACTCAAGAGCATGATGGATGAGGTTTTGTTGCATAAGCTTTGAGAAGGTCCATGGCCCATGGCCTTTATATAAGGTCGACAAAGAAAAAAAACTCCACCTAATGTGTTTGAGTTTGTGATGAGTTTTGGTATCTCTGTTAATGCCACATGGATTGAATAGTGATTTGAACAAGGTTTTGAGTTTGAGTTTTTGTGATGGTGTGATACAGGGAGAGCTGGAGTTCCAATGGAGGTTATGGGGTTGATGCTTGGAGAGTTTGTGGATGAGTACACTGTTCGTGTTGTTGATGTTTTCGCTATGCCACAGAGTGGTACTGGTGTTAGTGTTGAAGCTGTTGATCATGTTTTCCAGACCAATATGCTTGACATGCTTAAACAAAGTGGAAGGTAGATTCTCATATCATTCTTCTCTAACACCAATCTAAAGGCCTACACTTATTGTAGAATCTTTGTACACTTAGTGAGTCTTATGAGTTCATGTATTATTGTATTTCAGACCTGAAATGGTGGTGGGTTGGTATATCATTCACATCCTGGATTTGGTTGCTGGCTTTCTGGTGTTGACATCAATACTCAACAGGTATGTAATGTTTGTTCTGTATCATTCACATACATAGTTACACACTGTTGAATGTTACTCCTTGTGTCCCATACATTTTTGTAATTGGCTTGCGTTGTAGAGTGTGTATATTAGACTTCTATATAGAATGTTATTCCTTGTGTCCTATACGCCTATACCTTGCTGTAAATGGCTTTGTATTGAATGTCATTCTGTTTGAATCCACTCTTTATATGTTTCTCCTAGCACTTGATAAGGTTGCATTGTACTCTGTGATAGTTTTTTTTCTCTCATAGTAAGATCAATGGCAAGAGTTTAATTCCAATTACACTGTTCATAGTTGTTTTTTTAATGGAAGGCATAACTGGTTTAAAACAGAAACAGAAAGTTCTTTCAAGCAAATTTCAGGTAAAAATGTAAAGTTTTAAGTCAATTCATTTTGACTCATGAGGAAGAGTATTCTCAAAGTTGAGAGTGTTCCTCATTGTTCTCCTGCTGATCCCATCATTGTCTTTCCTCATCATTTCCACAAACTCCCCATAGTTTATTTGTCCATCCTACAAGAACCAAACACCATTTTAAGAACCTTCATAAGGAAACAGTTATTTAAGAAACTACTTACATTGTCTTGGTCTATGTCTTTGATCATTTCATCAAGATGTGAATCTTTTATACCAAACTGGTTCCAAGCCTGTTGGAGCTCATCCATAGTGATGCAACCACTTGCATCTTTGTCAAAGAAAGAGAATGCAGCTACTAGATTCTCCTCTCTCTCCAACTTGTTCAAATGGATTGTTGCAGCCAAAAACTCTCCATAGTCTATTGTTCCACTCTCATCAACATCAGCCTAATACACACACACAATCACACACAATCATAACAGTGAAAGTTGATAAAGAGAAGAGAGTTGATGTTTACTGCTTGCAAGAGTTCTTGGATCTCTGATTCCACAAGCTCTGACCCAACACGTCTGATACTATCTTTCAACTCTTCAAAAGTAATGGTCCCACTGTTGTCTGTGTCTATCATCTTAAACAGTTCTTTAAGCCCACCAATCTCTTCCTCAGAGAGCTTCTCTGCAACTACGCGTAAAGCCATCTTCTTAAGTTTGTTCATTACAGAGAACCTTTTCAACCGGGACACAACTGCAAAATCCAATGGTTTATCTGGAGCAACAGTATCATCCACAATCCAAGGATGACCTGATAAAATAACAACACAAGAATCACACACATCACTTTAGCAACCTTAAGCTCAAAAGTTAAGAAGCTTACACAAGACTTGATGAGCAGTTAGCCTTTTCTTTGGATCACTCTCAAGCATCTTCCCTATAAGATCCTTGGCACTCTCTGAAATGTTAGGCCAAGGACTTGTCTCAAACTCCACCTTACCCTGTTTAATCTTTCTGAAGATCCCATATTGAGTTCCTGGATACAAAATAAGACACATTGAGATGAGAGAGTGAAAACTTTGTTATTATTACATATCTATAAAGAGAAAGCAAAGAAGCTAACCAGCATTGAAAGGAGGGAAGCCACATAAGAGAATGTAGAGGATAACTCCAGCGCTCCATACATCACATTCACGGCCGTAACGCCTGTTTAAAACCTCAGGTGCCACATAGTATGCACTTCCAACAAGTTCTGTAAACGTTGCATCTGAAAAAACACACAAAAAAACAAAAAATTGTATGGATAAAACACCCAAGCAAGGGCTCAATGGAAAAAAGTACTCAAGAACACAATTTTTTTGTGAACAAATGCAAACTAATTTTGAATAAGCAAATAAACTTAAGCAAAACACTATTGATGCAATTATCAGTTTAGGATTTTTTTTTTTTTTTTAAACACTGGGAATTTGAATAATGTAACATCGGGAAGTAAAGATACAAAAGAAAATTTTAAATGGATTGTCATTAGGATATTGTATAGTGATTGTGTGAATGAATCACTATTTCCCCCACAATATTTAGATATTTTCTTAATTACTACATTCTTCTTGTATTTTCAGCCAATTCACCCTAATTTTACGGTCTATTTGATCCGTATTTATATTGGCCTCAAAATCCGATATTCCTTTTCCTTTTAAAAAAACATCCTTATTCCGAATCCTAAATCCTAAAAAATTCACTGTACCGGACTTCATCCGGCTAAATGAATGTGGTTTTTAACTGGTGCACCGAGATTTAAATCACATTTTCAGAAGATGCAAGATGTCAAAGGGGGGAAAAGAATCAGAACCAGAATCAAACCTGGTTTGCAAAAAACAGAGAGACCAAAATCTGTAGATTTAAGAGAAGCATCTTCATCAGAAGAAGAGAACAAAAAGTTCTCAGGCTTAAGATCTCTATGCATAACACCAAGAGAGTGACAAGCCTCAACAACGCTAATAATAGTCTTGATAACCTTAGCAGCATCTCTCTCACTGTAATGACCTTTAGCCGAGATTCTATCAAACAACTCACCACCTTCACAAAGCTCCATCACAAGGTGGACGTTAGTATCATCCTCGTACGTGCTTTGTATCCGGACAACGTTGGGGTATTCAGACAAGTGATGCATTATCTGGATCTCCCTCAAAACGTCGTCGTAGTCTTCTTGACATAGGAGTTTTCTTTTGGGTATGGTTTTGCAGGCAAGCTTTTGACCTGTCTCCTTTTGGGTGCAGAGGAAAGTGGTTCCAAACTGGCCTTGTCCGAGCACACGACCAAGAACGTAATCGTCTCTTAGGTTCTTGGTTCTGTAAGGGAGAACCCATTTGGTTATTGATTCTTTGGCCATAGTTTTGAGTCTTGACTTTTTTTTTTTGTTAGAGAATCTGAAGAAGAAAATAATGAGGAGAGAAACTGTCTTTGTGTATTGAAGAGAGAGGGAAGTCAAGACCAGTTTTATTAAGCAAATGAATCGTTCAGTTAGTTTCTCTTATGAGTTATTTCTTTTCTTTTCACATTAAATGAATAAAATGGCATTGGAAAGTAAATATTAATTACATGACTTGGTTGTTTTTGTTGAATATGTTGTCAACTAGTAATTATTAGCTGTTACGGATATATATGAATTAATTGAACATTTCATTGACCAAATACATCAAGTTATTATGCTTTATATATTAATTGAGAAACAGTATAAGTTATTATGCTTTATATATTAATTGAGAAACACTATAAAATGTAAATTATTCATGTGTCATCATCATCCTCGAATGGTTATTATATTTTTAAAAAAAAATTAATTAGTCCATCTAAACATATATTATATTTTTTATTAAACTAATCATAAAATTAATTAGTAATCTACAAAATATGTTTATTTCTTATTTTCTTAAATATAATCTAGAAAATTACCTAAAATGATTAGACTATATATGAATATGGTAAGTAAATATAAATGACATGAGTTGAATAAGTTGTCAACTAGAAATTATTAGCTGTTAGAGATATATATGAATTATTTAGACATTTCATTGACCAAGAAAATTAAGTTAATGTTTTTGTGTATAATGTGATATGAGCTTGGATGGTAACAGAAAAATGGCAAAAAACGTGGTCAGATGATCTGTTTCATAAAATCAGATTGCCTGTTTTATTTAAACTTGAATTTGATGTTGTCAAAAAAAAAAAAAAACTTGAACTTGATAAAATAAAAATATAAATTATATATTTTCAGCACGTTGTGTATTTTCCTTCAAAATAATTGATATGACTTTGTATGCAACACAAAAGTTTGTTGAACATTCTCTGATTACAAACAAACTAATCCTTTCTCCCACTCTCTAATATCTAACCGGTTTTATAACCCTTTTAAGTTATAGTATCTTAATTTCTTTTTATTTCCATTGGTTAAATTTTTCTGTTAAAGTTATTAATGCCAACATTTCAAGACACATTATATTAAGGCCAAAAAGGCAAAAACCCTTTTGTACCAAAGAGTCTGATAACTGGTGAGATCAATGTTTGATAACTGTTAAGATCTTGATTCCAGTTACACTAGTCATAACTGGTTTTAAAAACAGAAACAGAAAGTTCTTTCAAGAAAATTCCAGAGTTGAGTGTTCCTCATTGTTCTCCTTCTGATCCCAACATTGCCATTGCCTTTCCTCATCATTGCCACAAATTCTCTATAGTCTATTTGTCCATCCTACAAAACAAGCAAGCACCATTCACATTCATCTTAGCTTCTTAATAAGGAAACTAGTAAAAGATCTTTGTGAAACTACTTACATTGTCTTGATCAATGTCTTTGATCATTTCATCAAGATGTGGATCTTTTATACCAAACTGCTTCCAAGCCTGTTGGAGTTCATCAACAGTGATGCAACCACTTGCATCTTTGTCAAAGAAAGAGAATGCAGCCAATAGATTCTCCTCTCTTTCTAGCTTGTTTAAGTGAATTGTTGCAGCCAAAAACTCTCCATAGTCTATTGTTCCACTCTCATCAACATCAGCCTGATACATACACACACAATCATAAGATGGTACTTGAAAAGAATAGTAAGAGAGTTACTAGTTACTGCTTGCAAGAGTTCTTGGATCTCAGATTCCACAAGCTCTGACCCAACACGTCTGATACTATCTTTCAACTCTTCAAAAGTAATGGTTCCACTGTTATCTGTGTCTATCATCTTAAACAGTTCTTTGAGCCCACCAATCTCTTCCTCAGAGAGTTTCTCTGCAACTACGCGTAAAGCCATCTTCTTAAGTTTGTTCATTACAGAGAACCTTTTCAGACGAGACACTACTGCAAAGTCCAATGGTTTATCAGGAGCAACCATATCATCCACAATCCAAGGATGACCTAACAAAATAAGACAACTTCAATCAGCTTTAGCGGTCTAACAAGCTCATGAGATGAGAGCTAAGTAGCTTACACAAGACTTGATGAGCTGTTAGCCTTTTCTTTGGATCCCTCTCAAGCATTTTTCCTACAAGATCCTTGGCACTCTCTGATATGTTAGGCCAAGGATTGGTCTCAAAGTCTAGCTTTCCGTGTAGAATCTTTCTGAAGATCTCACGTTCACTTCCTGGATACAAAATAGGACACATGAGATGAGAGAGTGAAACTTTGTTATTATTACATTATTAACAATGATTCAAGCTTGTATTTTAATGAAATTGAGTTTGGGAGAAGATGAATAACGGAAGAAAGTTTGTTATTCACATTAATGGTAACTTTACAAAATAAGCAAGTGTTGCTTATATATACATAACCGAAAATACATAACCGGTTTATCTCAGTAACCAACTCTAGTTAACCAATGTAAACCAGCCTAATCATCTATCCTAATATACATATCTATAAAGTGAAAGAAAGAAGCTAACCAGCATTGAAAGGAGGAAAACCACATAACAGAACGTAGAGGATAACTCCAGCACTCCATACATCACATTCACGGCCGTAACGCCTACGTAAAACCTCAGGTGCCACATAGTAAGGACTTCCAACAACTTTGGAAAACGTTACACCTGAAAAAACAAAGAAACTTATTCAGCTAAACACACACACAAACTCACAGCTTGCAGGGCCGGTCTTAGGCCAAGCCGGATGAAACATTCGTCTTTAGTCCCTAAAATTATAGAAAAAGGCTCCTAAAATCTTAAGGCCGGTCTTAGGCCAAGCCGAATGAAACATTCGTCTATGATCCCCAAAATTTTTGAAATTTTTTAAATTGACATAGACTCCTAAATTTGTAGAAAAAAAAGCTCCCAAAATATCAAGACCGGCCCTGTTCACAGCCATAGCATCTAATCAAGGGTTCAATGAAAACAGTTTCCGACAACACAATCATGAAGATAAGAAGAAGGATATGCAAAGGGAACCAGACCTGGTTTGCAGAAAACAGAGAGGCCAAAGTCAGTAGACTTAAGAGAAGCGTCTCCATCACAAGAAGAGAACAATAAGTTCTCAGGCTTAAGATCTCTATGCACAACACCAAGAGAATGACAAGCCTCAACGACGCTAACAATAGTCTTGGTGAGCTTAGCTGCTTCTCTCTCACTGTGATACCCTCTCTTCACGATTCTATCAAGCAACTCACCACCTTCACAAAGCTCCATCACAAGGTGGACGCTAGTATCATCCTCGTACGTGCTTTGTATCCTGACAACGTTGGGGTGTTCAGACAAGTGATACATTATCTGGATCTCTCTCAAAACGCGGTCGAAATGTTCTTGATGAAGGAGCTTTCTTTTGGGTATGGATTTGCAAGCAAGCTTTTGACCTGTTGCGTTATTGGTACAGAGGAAAGTGGTTCCATACTGTCCTTTTCCGAGCACACGTCCAAGAGAGTAATCGTCTTTCAAGTTCTTGGTCTTGTGAGGAAGAACCCATCTGGTTCTTGTTCTTGATTCACTTGCCATAGTTTTGAGAGTCTGAGAGAGAGAGAGAGAGAAGAGAGACAAGTCAAATGAAATTATTATCAACTAGTAATCATTAACTGTTACAGATATTTTTATTGACCAAAAAAATAAGTTAAAGATTTTTTTTATGTATAGTAGGTACCTACGTGCTCCCTTCCTAGGACACAGGATCATGGCAAGACATGTTCAGAATCTTCAGATGGTCTTATTATATGCCATAACACTTCATGTTTCACCCAAACTTGAATAATATATAGAGAGTAAAATAAGATAAATAAGTATATTTTCAATACGTTGTGTGTGTATCTACTCTATTAAAATAGAATCATTTTTTTATCTATTGATATAAATTATCATTTAAATTTGAATCATTTCTAAAGTATTACAAATAATACATGCCATATAATTTACAAAACTGCATTATTTAAATTAAACATGTGGTTATTTGTAGGATTGAGTCTTGGGCTTACTTTTGTTTTTAGGACAAATTATATGGTTTGATTTTTGGGTTTAGTATTAAGGGAAAACTCCAAAAAAATTGAATAAATTTTCCACCTTAATGGATCAAAAAGTTAATTATTATTTTCAGGACCAAATGTAATTAATATTAAAAAAACAAATTTTATATTATTAATCACTTATTTAAATCATGTACTTTAAAACATATTAATGTATTTTTTTATTTTAAATAAAAATCACTTTGTTTTGATAAATTTTCAATGGTAATTTTTAAATAGTTTATTATTTTATTTTTCTTAAATATTTTACTCATTTAGAAAATGATATGTAAATCAAAACCAAAACCATATCTAAAAACTAAAATCCAAAACCAAAAGCTGAGAACGCAGATTATATTATTGCTTTTGTTTATTAACAAAATAAACTATTGCAATTTTTTTTAAAAAAATTTTTGCCATCTAGATTTTGACCCGTGCTTGAAAAGCGCAGAAAATTTTATGATTAAAAATTTATATAATTGGATTTTGTTTTTATTTAAAGTATGTTTTGGTATAAAATCAGTAATCCAAAATTTGTGGCGGTGATCATTTTGCCTTAGTGTTTAGTTTCAGTTTTTATTTTTACATTTGGTTTTAAATTTTGGTTTTTGGGTTTTAGTTTTTAAGTTTTTATTTTTGATTTTCAGCTTTTCGTTTGAGTTTTTTGAACCGCTGAGTTAGTTTGAACTGATATTACCAACAAACAAATCCTAAGTAATCGAACATCTAATTTAAAACTGAAAATATGGCAATTTTGTTTTAAAAAAACTGCAATACTTTATTTTGTAAATAAACAAAATCAATAATATAACCTGTGTTTTCAGTTTTTGGTTTTGGATTTTAGTTTTGCTTTAATTTTTTTTTAAATCAGTAAATTATTTAAGAAGAATTAAATAATAAACTATTTAAAAGTTACCACTGAAAATTTATCAAAACAAAGTGATTTTTATTTGAAATAAAAAAAATTCAGTAATATGTTTTAAAGTATATGATTTAAATAAGTGATAAATAATATAAAATTTTGTTTCCATCTTAATGGATTAAGAAATTCATTATTATTTTCAGGCTCAAAGGTAATTAATATTAAAAAAAAAATTTAAAATAACAAAATAACAAAATCTCATGTATGGGATAGTTGAGTTTGCAATTAGGTCATACTAAATACGTACTAAGCATAAATTCTTTTCGGATTTCGCCTCTTTTGGAGGGGTGTGTAATTTAATCGTATTCACATATTTTTAAAACTACGCAACAAAAAAAAAATTCATTTTATTAAAACTATATTTTAAATTAAAATTTTGTAAATATTTTATTATTTGCTTACCAATAATTTTTTAAAATTTGGATTTAATTAAACATATATAATTAAAATCTTAGATATGTTTTTATTTTTATTTTCTTAAAATGTATTATATGAACTTGTCTAAAATTAAGAAAAAACTTTACAAAATTGTATATTATAGAAACTTCAAAACTAAATAGTATTTTTACAATCTGTAAATATAAAAAAGAAACTAATGGTATTAAGATTATAAGTTTTTTTTTTAAATGAATAAATTTTTGAAGAAATTTTCAAAGTAAAATTGTATAATTATTAAAATATAATTAAATAATGTTTCAAAATTTTTAAAATATTGTTATATTTTTATTATTATATTATTAAATAGTATATTTTAATGTAATTATGTGAAAGAAGATGTATAAGTTATTACTATATTTTAAAAAATTTACCAGATATATAAACAACTTTTAAATGTAATTTTCCATATCATAATTGTTAGTGTCATATTATTTTTTGTGAAAATGTTAATAGAGAAAACAGCTAAGCAAAATTTGAAAACTCACTATCCTTGGGAGATAATCCAAATACTTGTTTTGACTCAGAAATACACAATTTAGTGATTACTAGATTTTGATCCGCCTTTCAAAGGACGCATATATTTTTGTTTTATATTTTATATTTTTCTTTAGTTTTGGTCCATATATTTTGTATTTTATATTTTTTTGGAAATTTATTTTGCCTATTTATATTTTTATTCCTATTTGTGTTTTCTTTGTAATCCTATTAAAATAATTGGACTAAACCTATGTCAATAAATTATGTTTCTATTTTAATAGAATAAATATTTATTATTAATAGCATGTTAATACTATCAGTTAACTATAATAAAAAGTGATTAATATGGTTCGATTATATAAAAAGTTACAGCTACGTATATATTGTCAAGGAATAATTATTAATAAATATAATTGTTGACTATATATTTGAGAGAAGTGGATGACGACAATTTTGATGTTAAAGTGAAGGTTACAAAATAAATATATCAGTTATATGCAGTTAGAATTAGATTAATTTTTAAAAATAAATCCAATGACTATTAAAATAATATTCCAGGGTAGAGTGAGGGTAATTGTTAGCAATAATCATGTTTTAATAAATTAGATTATTAAGTATTAACTTATCTTAAACATCAACGGATATTACGCTAAAAATCCTCAAAATATATTGGATTGAGACATACTAAATCTTAAACAAGACAAACTAATCTTTTCTCATTCTTTAAAAATCTAAACAAATTTTATGACCTTTTGTTTCCACTTGTTAAGCTGTTTTGGTAAAGTTATTAGATTCAACATTTGGAGACACATTATATCAAGTCCAAACACCATTTTGTAACAGAGAAACTCTGATAACTGGTAAAAGAAAAAAAACTAGCAAAATCAATATTGGATAACTGTTAAGAGCTTGATTCCAGTTTACACTCCTCATAATTGGATTTATTGAAAACACAACTGGTTTTAAAACAGAAAGTCAATCATGAAACAATCAGTAGTGAAAAGTTTAGTAATTCATTCAAGAAGAAGATTCTCAAAGTTAAGAGTGTTCCTCATTGTTCTCCTGCTCATCCCAACATTGCCATTTCCTTTCCTCATCATTGCCACAAACTCTCCATAGTTTATTTGTCCATCCTACAAGAAGCAAACACAATAAGCTCCTTTATAAAGAGACCAAATAGATCTTTGTGAAACTATACTTACATTGTCTTGATCAATGTCTTTGATCATTTCATCAAGATTTGAATCTTTTATGCCAAACTGGTTCCAAGCCTGTTGGAGCTCATCCATAGTGATGCAACCACTTGCATCTTTGTCAAAGAAAGAGAATGCAGCCACTAGATTCTCCTCTCTTTCTAGCTTGTTCAAGTGGATTGTTGCAGCCAAGAACTCTCCATAGTCTATTGTTCCACTCTCATCAACATCAGCCTGATACACACAAACACACAATCATAACAGTGAAAGTTGATAAAGAGAAGAGAGTTGCTACTTACTGCTTGCAAGAGTTCTTGGATCTCAGATTCCACAAGCTCTGACCCAACACGTCTGATACTATCTTTCAACTCCTCAAACGTGATGGTCCCACTGTTGTCTGTGTCTATCATCTTGAACAGTTCTTTGAGCCCACCGATCTCTTCCTCAGATAGTCCCTCTGCAACTACACGTAAAGCCATCTTCTTAAGTTTGTTCATTGCAGAGAACCTTTTAAGGCGGGACACTACTGCAAAGTCCAATGGTTTATCTGGAGCAACCATATCATCCACAATCCAAGGATGACCTAACAAAAACAACAACACATGAATCACACAATAGCAAAAGAATATACATCAACTTGAATAGTCTAAGTTCAAAGTGAGAGCTTACACAAGACTTGATGAGCAGTTAGTCTTTTCTTTGGATCGCTCTCAAGCATTTTCATTGTAAGATCCTTGGCACTTTCTGAAATGCTAGGCCAAGGATCGGTCTCAAAGTCCAGCTCTCCCTGTAAAATCTCTCTAAAGATCCCATTATCAGTTCCTGGTTACAAAATTTGACACATGAGATGAGAGAGTGAACACGCTGCGATTATACATATCTATAAAGAGAAAAAAAAAAGATTCTAACCAGCATCGAAAGGAGCAAAACCACTTAACAAAACGTAGAGTATAACTCCAGCGCTCCATACGTCACATTCACGGCCGTAATGCTTAAGTAAAACTTCAGGTGCCACATAGTATGCACTTCCAACAAGTTCTGAAAACCTTGTGCCTGACAAAAACAAATAAACAATGATTTGCGTGCCCAAAACACACATTCTTCACACTTACAACCAGGACCGGCTCAACATTTATTTGGATTTCTGGACAAATTTCTTTTTAAATTTTTTAATATTTATGTTTATTAAAAGTTTAAATATATTTGAACTTTTTTTTATCATCAATATCTTTATAAAATTTTGTGATAAAAATAAATTATGTATATGTAAAATATTTTAGGGTCCCTATTCAACTAAAATTCGTAAATATTTAAATTTTTCTATATAAAAATATATATGTATAAAAAAAATATTAGACCCCTTAATTAGTAAGATTGGAGGAATATAGATTTGGATTCGGGCTGTCGCACCATTGTCCCTAAAATCTAAAGGAGGAGAATATGTAAAGGAGGAGAGAATCAAAAACCAGACCTGGTTCGCAGAAAACAGAGACGCCAAAGTCTGTTGACTTAAGAGAAGCATCTTCATCACAAGAAGAGAACAAGAAGTTCTCAGGCTTAAGATCTCTATGCATAACACCAAGAGAATGACAAGTCTCAACGACGCTAACAATACTCTTGATGACTTTAGCAGCTTCTCTCTCACTATAATGACCTTTCTCCGCGATTCTATCAAACAACTCACCACCTTCACAAAGCTCCATCACAAGGTGGACGTTAGTATCATCCTCATACGTGGTTTGTATCCGGACAACGTTGGGGTATTCAGACAAGTGATGCATTATCTGAATCTCTCTCAAAACCTGGTCGCAATCTTCTTGAGAAAGGAGAGTTCGTTTGGGTATGGATTTGCAGGCAAGCTTTTGACCTGTTTCCTTATGTGAACAGAGGAAAGTGGTTCCAAACTGGCCTTGTCCGAGCACACGACCAAGAGAGTAATCTTCTTTCAAGTTCTTGGTCTTGTAAGGGAGAACCCATCTGGTTCTTGATTCGCTTGCCATAGCTTTGAGAGTCTTCCTTTAAGCAGAGGAAGAAGAAAATAAAGAGGAAAGAAAATGACTTGAAGGCAATGAAGAGAGGCAAGTCAAGACCACTTTCTATTGAGCAAATGAGTAATCATTAGCTGTTACATGAATTAATTTAACATTTCATTGACCAAAAAAATAAATTATTACGAGCTCGCTTCCTAGGACACTGGATAATGGCAAAACGTGTTCAGATGATCTCATTTCATGCCATAACATTTCCTGTTTCACCCAAACTTGAATAATATATAGAGTGAAATATATATATTATATATTTTCAGCACGTTGTTTATTTTTCTTCAAAATAATTGACATGACATTATACCATTATCGTTTCTGGTTCATACCCGCCTATTATTCAACATGAAAAAGTAACATATCAGAGTTTTGCAGATAAAATCAATTAAAAAACTCGGACGAGCTAGCTCAACTAGTAACACCTCAGGCAATTGTTTGAGAGGTCACAAGTTCGAGTCTCGGACGGAGAACAGTGTCCAGGACCGTAAAAGGTATAGACGCAGGTTGGTTCCGGGCCTGGAAGGATTAAGGTGGAAGGCCTGAACCCATCCTGATTAAACAAAAAAATTAAAAAAATAAAAAAAGCAATTAAAAACACCAAATAATAAAACCCTAAAACCTAAGCCATAAATCCTACACGATTAACACTAAACCCCTATACAACATGAATTTTTATCCCAAGAAACATTCAACACTCTCTCCTTATTATCAAGCTTAACACTAGCACCAGCTCTACTTCTAACTTCTTTTCTCTTTTCATCTACACCACCACTCATATTTGCGTGTCTTGCACGTATCTTATCCACTTCCTCCTTAAGCTTCCTCGCGATTCTCTCCTCTTCAACACAACCCCTAGCCAAACCAGAACGCTCTCTTTCCTCTAGATCAGACATCATCTTACGCCTCTTGGAATCCACTTGCGGCTTCTTTTCTTGTTTCTCACGCTAGATTCTAAGAAGATCATCAAACATCTTCTTACCTTTCTTTTCTTTGAGTACCTCGTAAGATGTCTTGAGCCTCTGAAACTTCTCATGAGCGTCAGGATCATCTGGACGTTTATAATAATAACTAGGTAGAGACCCGCACTTTGTGCGGGGTGAAACTATTGTAAATTGATATAACATACATTACATATTCATACATAGTTTGCAGAATACATTATTGAGAAGTGTACAATATAATGGACCATAAAATGTAAATAGTAAACTAAATGAGACAGAAAGTAGGTGTATTGCATAATTACTCATACAGTATGTAGGAACCACGCTGAGAACTAATGCATATATTTATAATTTTAATACATTGATATAGATACTTATGTGTGAGAAATTAGAATACACGGCCAAATTACTAAAGAATATTTGTCAACTCTGAGAATTTTTTTATTTAGATTGATACGTTATGGTATTTATCATAAATGTAACATTTTCCTGTTACATTGAAACTTCTATAACTTAATAATGTTTGGAATACACCAAAATTATATTTTTTTATTTTTTATAAAAATTATTAATTTATCGATATACTAACTGAACCAAAAACTAAATTTGGAACTATAAAATTATATTATTTTATAGAAATATTTAATGTATATTAATTTAAAGAATATTAATTTAAAGAAGTTGTACTGTATGTGAGCGAGATTTGCCGGGCACATGACAACTTTTGATACAATACCATGTGCGTTTTAGAATATACCTCTGAAAATAATGGCAACTTAATGGTATTCATCTCACCTATATTAAAGTGATATTCACTTTGATCACAAGTTAATATTTCCATTGCATTAAGCCTAATTAACCAATACATCATTTTCGATTTTTTTTTTTTAAATTAACATATATATGAGATGAAAATGGTATGTATTTGTCCATGGCTGCTGGTTTATATTACTATTGACCTTTTTGGGTCAAAATATAACTATTGATCTTTTGATAGTGATTTACTCACAACTTTCCTTTTGAACTTTTAGAAATTAGATGCTACATTACACGATTAAAAATAAAATGCATGAGTTTCATACTTAAGTATTTGTATTCTATGACCAAGATAAAACAAATCATACATGAGTATAAACAACAGAGAAAATGTATATTTGTAGAATTGCTAATCGCAAACCCCATAGCATCTCGCTAGAAAAATAATCAATATGTAAAGCACCGATCTCTTAATTAAGAAGAGTCATATAGAACCACATCCCTTTAGTATTAATAGAGAAGAAATTGGTGAAAGTAACCTTTAAATAGTAAATTATTTACATGTATGCCATTTTGGTGAGGTGGCATCTCCTCAATCATTCTCAGCTTTCTATTAGAATTACCTTTAATACACTAGATTAATTACGATGAGTGCCATTGGTACTCTTATTATGAATTGTATTGTATTTTATATCACNATTACCTTTAATACACTAGATTAATTACGATGAGTGCCATTGGTACTCTTATTATGAATTGTATTGTATTTTATATCACCATTAAAAACATGATGGTAAAGACAATGACGAGTGCTTACGGAAGGGTAAATAGACAAAACCACGTAGGATGTCACGGGAATTGTAGTTTCATTACGAACTTGAATCAATTTAGAGAAATAATGAGACTATTGTGAATGATTTAACAAAATTTAGTGTTTTTAAATCCGATCCAAATACATAACCAGAAAATTTTTTGGGTTAGCAAGCTTATTCGGTTGACTACAGGTAAACCACATATTAATAAAATGATTAATTTTATTATATAATAATATACTAGCTATCAAAAATATAAGAAAAATTTTATTTTGAAAAAATATATAGAAAATACTTAAATTTATATAGAATACAAAACAAAGTTTGATAAAATAGTTACACAAATCGAAGGAAACAAAATATGTAGAAAATTATCTAATGGGTGGATCAACCAGTGGTTGACACATGTAGTCTGATTCCAGATTTAGCAGCACAACTAGATCAGCGCTTTGCTGGCTAGATGAAAAATCTAAGGAAAAATGCTTCTATTTTAATAGCACAACTAGATCAGCGTTTTGGAAGCACATAAAATTTTACTATGAATCCACTAATACTTCAAAAATATTTTATTAGTTTGTAAGAATTTTGTGTATTTATTTTTTTCGTTTAAATTAGTGTTTTAAAATTTGACTTGGATCCCGGGTCAAGCCGATTAATCCGGTGATTTGATAATTCGATTTTGTTTTTACAAATATCCATATTTAAAACCTATAAAAATCACTAAAACCCGAGACTAACCGATTGAACCAACGAATAGTTGAAAGGTAACCAATTTGATTTAAATTGTTATAGTATCATAATTTGTCATTTTTGTTATTATACTTATTATACAATGGTTTTATTTTCAAAGTATATTGTTTATCTATTTTTAGTGTAATGGCTATTATAAATTATTATGTATAACCATTATTTATAAAATATCAATAAAATAATCTATTAAATTAATTGATTTGTTATTAATTAAAATGTTTTCTAGCATCTATACCTCCAAAGATAATTTTTATTTATTTTCTTGTTTTTTGTATATATTATTTGATTTTTAAAATTATTTAATATATCAAAATAATTTAGAATAAAAGTATTAAAAATTATTTAAAAGATGAGATCTAATTTTTATATTGTTTGAACACAAGACTAATTATAGTATTGTTTGGAAACATAGATAATAGTATAAATAAAAGAGTACTAATGATTTGAGATATGTTTAACTACAAAGTATAAAAGTGCATGTAATTTAAAAAAGAAGTACAAAACAAATTTTAGATCCAAATTTAGATTATGTTTTAATAAAATAGATAAAATGGGACAAGAGTGAAGAAGTATCAGTTCCATCACAAATATCATCTACTCTTATGTACCGTTAGTTTTTTTTTTTTTTTAATCCCATAAAAGAAAGACGATTATATGGTGAACTTAGAGGTTCACCACCCTAGGAGGTGAAGCCAAAAATAACTCTAAATTTAATTACATAAGATATGCTAAATTTTTCCAAGTTCCATAACAATTTCGATTTTATTGTTTACAAAATATATTTACATGAGAGTAAATGCACGTGTAGATGTTCAAGATTAGTCATAAGCGAAAATAGATATGTTCATAAATTTTGCATGCTATTGTAATATTGTATTTGGTGTACAGCACCATTGAGATTCTTCTGTGGAGTTATCTAAAACATCTATACTATTAAAACACAAGACATTTTTTTAAAGTGTTATTTTCTTTTGAAAGTATTTATAATTTTCTGTCACTGAGATATTTTAGGTTATGCTTTTATTTAAAAGCTTTTTTTTTCTTTTTTCAGTAATTCATATTAAACCATCTCTTGAGCTATTTTTTAATTTTGTTGATATTTTACCATGTATAATTATAATGTAAATAAAATTTTCTTTTCATGGTTATATGAATTAAAATACATATCAAAGATTTTAGGTGTCCTTCTCTTTTGAAAATATTTACAGCTATCTCATTTTAAAGTAATATTTTGTGTATTTGTAATTAGAAATATGAAATATTTTTATACAAATATTATAGAAGGTTATTTATTTTTATAAATTAAAAAGAGTTAGTATTAATTTGTAATTAATTTAATATTATTTACGAATTTTATTATTAAAATAATATTAAGCCAATAAATATTTATATTTTAAATAAAAATATATTAAAAGATATTGTTAAAATGTGCTCTTAGAAAAATAGTTAAGAATATTTTTTGATATCTTATTTTGAAAATATTTAAATATTGTGTTAAGATTATGTGTTATTTAATAATAAATAAGTTTGTTGTATTCAAAATAATAATAAATAATAAATGAAATGGTCCAACTTAGACTACTTGTGAGTACATAAATATTTATTTTGTATTAATAGTATGGATTTACTTTCTTTGTTTATGATTTTGTGTATCGTAAAGTTTTAATGGTCGAAAGATATGAAAATAATTATACCAATATTTTATTTCTCGACATGAAAGTTTAATGTTACTATATGTTAGTAACATATTTAAACTAAACATGATTGTTCCTTAGATTTAAGAAATTATTTGTAAAATTAGAAAAAACAGTAATTGCTTATTATTTAAGTCTCAAGGTTAATTTTAAATTGTACTTTTGTTTTAATAGTTTAGAATGTTAATGATATATATATATTAATATGATTTCAAAAAATTTATGTATCTGTGATGTGATAGACATATTATCCATAAATTCAACAAATAACTAACATAAATAATATTTTTATCTATCTTAAAGTTTGTTACATAAAGTTATCGGACATTTTTTCTATATCATTTTGAGTTTGTTTGGGAGAATCAGAGAAACGTTTATCCTTCTAATATATATTTTCGTACGTTCAAAGTTTTAGGTATGCACAATTATAATATCATCAGTAAGTGGTAACATTTTAACTTCTAATTAATCTTCTATTTTCTCATACGCTCTAAACATATTTGAGTTTTTCTGAAGTTTATTTCATACCTTATCATTTAAAAAAATTAATATTATAAAAGAAAATATTCATTAATTTTATTTATAAATTTAAATGTTAAATTAAGATCTTAAAACTTCTTAATATATATATATATATATAGAAGTTCATAAAAATTAAAAGAATAATACTTATATCATTTGTTGTATAAATGATCGGGTTACATCTGATATTTTACGACAGTAGCTTCTATCGTTTTTCATTAAATAAACAAAATATTTTCATTAAGAGATGGAATGACAAATTGTTTAACCTTTTCAGTTATAAAGTTAAAAATGAACTTTGACAAATGCGAAACAGGTTCTAATGTTTAATTTGCTAAGAATTTACAATAGTGTCATTATTTTTTTTTGACAACTACTATTTACATTTATATAAAAAATTATGAAACTATAGTTTAGTCATTAGTCTCATTCACATTAGTCTCATTCTTTCTCTAATTCAGTTACATTACAATATTTCAATAAATTATTAAATTATAATTTTTATAAATTATAATATCATTTTGTTTATATTTAAACATTAACCCACATAACACGCTAAACTTATATGTACAT